AAAGCTGTCCATTGAAAAAACCAGCCCTACACGCTTCATTCTATGGCAATCTCGTTCTCAGAAACGCGATCTTTTTGTATAGCACCAAGAATCGAAAACTCTGAGCTGGGAGAAATCGGAAGATGAGCCAGCATTAGTTTCAGCGGTTACCCTCTCTACGCATGTTCAGAAACCACTATAGCACGTGAACGCATGCGCACAATTGAGCCTGACCCAGGATTTTCTGGTTCTGGTATCTGATTTTGTCCAGAGGCTGAGAGCGTCGGGCGTTGGGTTACCGCTGACCGAAAAACGCGCTGTTTCTGGTGATAAGATAGGCACCAGGCTTCTCCTTTTGTATTTCAAGGTTTTACTGACGGAAACATACTTACATGTAGAGCATGATGATTGACCTGGTTTAGAGGTGAAAAAATCATTCTTACACTTTGTGCACAATGTCGAACTGAAACAAGTAAACAAACAAGACTTGATTACTTTGTTATAGCACGTCTAAAATAGATCTACATTCTGGGACGTTGTGTTAAAACAAGAACAGAGTATCTCATGTTAAAAACATAGCTCACAAGGGGAACGAATAATTATTAATGTTCTAGTGAGCAGGGCATTCCTTGTTTGTATTCTCTCCCACCAGAACAACATTGACTCTCTCTCGAAAAGATTCGAAACGTTCGTCATAGAAATCCACTGTGTGAGGTGAGTACGGGCGCAAGGTAGAATGGATCGATTGGGAGGCGAAGCTGATTTCTCTTTCGTAAACGGTCGATGCCATTTTTAATGGTTAATGCCATAATTGATAACCAAGCTTTTCGGAATGGACGATGCCATACCTGCTCTAGTTTAGGCCTGGACTAGGTCGCAACTGGTTATAATAAACAATTAGATTATAAACTCGAGATTTCTATTATCGCGCGATAGTTGACGAGGGCGCAGCCCGAGTCAACTAATCTAATTGTTTTAGTATAAATCTACTAGTCGTTCAAAACTTTATCTAAATCCTCTTCACAGACACTTTAAAAAAGAAAAGAAGCGGCCATCATTTTGTTGACTAGGGCACACTGGTACGCTACTCGCTATTAGTATAAATCTACTAGCGTTCTATCATGAATACTGCTCTCTGATTGATTCGCTCTCGATTTCTATGCGCCCTCGTCAACTATCACGCGAAAGAAATCTCGAGCTCATAATCTAATTGTTTAATAGATAGTGAGTAGCGTAGCCAATCAGAGAACGGCATTCGTGATAGAACGCTAGTAGATTTATACT